GTATGCAGCTTCTTAACTAGCTTCTTCATTTCTTATGTATAGAGTTCCACTCTTTCCATTGTGGTTTTGTTAGTGATTTCAAGACTTTTGATAAAAATCAACATGTTCTTCCAGGTAATTTAGGTTTTGATAAATAGTTTTTTTCTGATGGGAAAACTATTCTGGCAATTTTTTGACCACATTTAGAAGGAGAAAGGCAGTGCTTAATACCCCAGAGAGACCATTAGTAAAATGCGAACTACTGTTAGGGCATTATGAGAGTCAATATTATACTAGCAGATGTATCAGAAGCAGCTGCGCTGCAAAAGGAGTTTGCTTGCCATGGTTTGTTTTATGTTCTGTTGCACAGAATAACTGGGCATAGATCCAAAAGGAAATGTTTAGGTTAGTTCTAGCTATCCTTCCTGTGTCTGTGAACAAGATGCTAGCACCTAGTTCTTGAGGCTTGTGGTGGAGGTATTCAGATGAACAATACAGAAAGGAAGAGGGGTGGTCATCTCCTGCTTTTGGTGGTAATCCAATAATAATTTTGGTGGGGGATTAGGAGCAGGTGGGGCTGGTGTGCCAGAATGCAGGAGGTGACAAGAGAATGAGAACTGAGTAGAGAGTACTCTTCCTCCCCCATCCTACACTTGTTTAGTTTTAATTTTTCAACCTCTCACTTGTGGCCTTGCAGATTTCCTGCCAAATCACCATGTGTTTTTGTGTTTTGAGATTTTTTCTCCCTCCTCCCTCCCACCCCCCAATAACAGGAGCTTGTTCATTTGTGCATTGTGGTACACACTAGGGAGCCAGCACTGGTGGCATGGAGGAGACGACAAAACTTAAGATCCTTGTTCCTCTTGGCCTGCCAGCACTGTTTTTTTTCTGTGGTTCGACTTCTGCCTATGCTTTCAGCGCATGGAGCTTGATCAGTAGGGAGAGCCAATTTATCTTCCAACAGTCATACCTTTTCCCCATGTGCTGTGGTTGCAAAAAAACCACTCTCAGCATGTAGGTCATGTTTAACAGTCCAAGATTCAAATTTGTCCATAAGTATGCTAGGGGAACCAAACCTAAGTACGTCTCTTGGTCAGTTTTCTAAGTAGCTCCAGAGACCTAGCCGGTCAGTGTGACTGTCAGTTCAGCTTTGTTTACTTAAAATGATTGAGCAGGGCTGTGCGAAATGGGCCTTATTCGATTCAGATTTGACTTGAATTGGTGACAGTGATTCAATCTGTTGATTCAGATCACTGTCTCTGATTTGATTTGGCTGAATCTGAATCTGAAGATTCGATGCTGATTTGGTGAATCAGCTATTCAGACATAGTCACAGCTTTAAAAAAAAATTTCTACATACTTTGAGGTAGCAACGTGGCTCATGATCGCTGTGGTGCTGGGGCACATGGAGCATCCCACAGGAGCCTGGGGGGCTCTCCAGTGTGCTCAGAAGCAAACTCCTGGTCCACTTCCAGGTCTGCTGTGGAGCATGCTGGGGCCCCCCTCACTGTGTCCTGCCAGATTGGCGATCAGCTGCAGGGGGGCCCCGGGTGCCCCCCCAGACCCAGGAGGCACCGGTTGCCGAGCACGGGGAGGCCCTCCCTGCATGCTCCTCAGTGGACTGGAAGTGTTTCTGGTCCACTTCTGGGTCTGTTACTGAGTGTGCTGGGGAGTCCCCCACACTTCTGTGGGATGCTGCATCTGCCCCAGCATTGCAGTGTTCAGAGGCCCTGCTACCTAGAGGTATGTAGAAAAAACATTTAAAGCTGTGTCTGTATCCAAATCACTGAATCTGTCCAAATCAGTTTGGAGGGTTCCAAATCGATTCAGAGAGATTAAAGGGTCCTCTGATTTGATTTGGATTTGGAGATTCAGCCTCTGAATTGGGCCGAATCACCACCAGATTGAATCGGGGACTGAAACTTCACACAGACCTATTAAGTATAGTTTTAGAATAAAAGTCTTGTTGTAGAGACATTTTGAGTGTTGAGAAATACTTATGCAACAAATGTATCAGGTATCTAGGTTGTAGCCATATTAGTCTAGAGGAAAAGGCAATCAGGACTCATAGTAGAGATGATATATTTTATTAGATCAACAAAATTTTTGCAAAAAAAATTCATTAATTGCAGACTTTCAGAAAGCTTTAATTGCAAGCCTTAATTTCAATTTTTTTTTGCAAAAATCTTGTTGGTCTAATAAAAGATGTATCTCTACTAGGAGTCCTGATTGCCTTATGCAACAAATGGCCTTTTTGTAGAAATAGGTGTTGGTGTTATGGTTAACATCTCAAGAATATCAAGTGCATATTTTTCCTGAGTAAAGGGAAACGGAGTCTCCAGTTTTTCATGAAACATCAGTCAAATGATATTGATGACTGTCAAGCAAAAGAACACAATCTTTACACTCGTTTAGCTTTTCCTTTCACTCTGTTGTGTTAATCTTACTGTTAATCTCACTGAACACTCGTTCCATCATCTTTGTTTTTGGTGGAAGCAGATAAAATATTACTCTGTATAGAAATATCTCCTAAATAAATGTTGTTGATTATTGAAAGCAAAAATAAGGAAATGATTGTTCTGATGAAGTGAAAATTGCACTTATTACAGTGTCTTCCAAGTTTGTTTTGGGACACCAAAAATCCGATGTAAAAGGCTGCTATATGTGATCATTTTATATATGCCCTATGTTGCCTGGAAGCAATGTTTGTATATCCAAAGGAACTTAAAGATCTCTCAAGATGACTTGAAACAAAACCAATCTAACAAGATGGTATGAAAACATTTATTAGGTGCAACAGTTGAATCAACGGTAGAGATGACTGGCATTGTTACTGGTGGAGCACTGATACAGCGCTCGTTGTGCACGTCTCAGAAACTGAAATGTTCTCTTCCTCCATTACATAAGTGAAAAAAATCCTTGCCCTTAATTGTATGTTCCAAAGATAGATAATGCACTTATGTCACATTCTATCCTGATTTTAATAGCTTTAGGGAGAGGAAAGTTCTTTTCCTTTAAGTATGTTAAATATAATAAAATGACTCCTGCCTCGATGTTTAGATCAAGATCAGAACTGTCCCAGTCTGGGGATATTAGATTTATTCTACTAATGGAGGCTCAACCAAATTTTATGTCAGGTTCTGGATTTGAACTCTTTCACATATTGACGGATTGATTGAATTTGAGGTTCCAGTACGAGTCCATGACACTTTCACATCTGAAGGCTCTCTTTGCTTTTAGTTTTCCTCATCTTTAAAATAAGGATAATGACGCAGACCTTTGTAATGTGCTTTGAGAACTCCATGGTGATGATGATAGCAGAGCGGTTGTGTTTTTAGTAGGGATTTGCACATCTGCATGCTCTGAGGAGGAAGATGATGTCCAGGAAACAAATCATAAATCAAGAAAACTCTCTTCACAGTGATCTTGAATCCAACCAATGAGCAACTTGCCCTTTAATGAGTTTGAACAGTCTGAGAAGCAACGTGTTGTTCCAGGAAGAGCAGATCAACGCAATTCTTCAGTACTGCTGGTCTGGTTGTATAGTTCACTAAAGAAGTCAGTGGGGACTGTGGAGGCTGTTCGTAGACTTTGATACAACGTTGGTGTTTTGCTTCTGAGTAAGGAATCTGTGGCAAATCAGTTATTCACCCACTAAGATCCATGTTATTCTGATATATATTATTATTCAAAACAGTTAAAAATTTCCCAGCACCAACTGACTAGTCTGTCACCAACTGTTGATGTCCCTATTCAAGCGGCACAGACAGCCTCCACATCAGTAGCGCACAGCAGACTGGGGTTGGGAACAGGCAGTACAGTAGTAGATAGGACAGGGAGCAGAAAAAAGAGCAACAGGTTAGGTAAGGACACTCAGGGAGGGTGTGGAGCTTATGTGCATGCCTTCCTACTACATTCTGTTCCTGATGGCATGGCTTTCATTGTTACTTAAAAGTTGCCAAAAATGTGATGTGGTGCCACAAAGAGTTTGAATGCTTTTATTAACCCTGAAATGCTTGAAATCTTACAATTCTTGTATGTCTTCTATTTTCTTTATGCATTTATTTAAATTTTTTTTCAATGAGCAATTTAACTAGTGTTGCTACATTACTTTTGATTTCTAGCAATAACTAATTGCCTTTTAATTATGTGTCTGTGTATGGAAGCTGGTAGGAACTGGGTTCCCTGTTTTGGTACTTTCAGCAGATAACAGGGAGTCAGCGAATTTGTGAAGCAAGTCAAGGAGTCCTGGCTGGACAGCTGAAAGAAAAGAGAAACTGAGTGATCTAAAATGAAGAACTAGATGGAAACTCCAGTTCAATGATCTGGAAATAGCTCCTGACTGAGAAGTGAACCCAGGCTACAATGGTTAAGGGGCTTCACTGCACAAATGGGCCAAGTATAATGTGGTATTGTTTTTCAGAATTAAACTTGTATTCTTGTAAATTCTCCTTCATCAACCCAAAAGAAAAATGCAATCACATAAGCTGCTTCTTCAGAAAAAACTGTTGAATTATCCCCAAATTACTTTTTTCATCAGTAAGACTAGTGTCTTTTTCAGATGATTTTAAAGTCAACTGAATGGAGAACTATATGCTATATAAAGTAACACTGGTATTCTTTGGAACTGTGGTGTAAAATTTATAGTCCAAGAATGACTCATTCAAGCTTCTGCCCTATTCTTTCATGGTTCTGTAGGCAGAAGACATATTGCAGATTGCTGCATAGTTACAATAATGTCTTTATGTACATGTACAGAGGGGGACTAAAGATAGTTGTGGCTAATCTAAATGTTGCCACCTTTCATTGTCTTTCTTTATTCATGTAACTGATACATATACACTGATTTTTATAACAGATATTTTATAACAGGATATCTTACTATTTGAACTTTTGCCCTATTACAAAAGCTCAAAAGCTTTAGTTCTGGGGCGGGGGGGTTGTTTTGTTTTTAAATATATTTAAACAAAGGCACTTTTACTTGAAAAACATGACTGCAACCAAGCTGTTTCAAATGATTCATACAGGATCCACAGTAGGATTTTTTCAAATAATTTTTATTTAAAAATATTTCTACTAGCATCCATGATAGTAATAATATAAAACTGCTGCTCTACATAGCACAATAGTGGATTCTTTTAAAAAGGCAATTCATACATCTTTGTATATACATATATAGTAAAACATAATGTGTGATGTAGATCTTGGTGAATGTTGCCCTCTTGAATATGCATCATGTCAGTTTTATTAGTGCCAAAGAATGTATTTACTGTCAATGAAATACTCAATGGCAAGGTATGCTTCTTAATTATGCCCTGAAGAATCTGGTCTAGTAAATACTGTGAAAGTAAAATGACTAGATTAGGCTTGGCACCTCAAATATGGTAATGGATTATCTTTATTCTCAGATATGCTCAGAAAATTTCTAAAATATTTGGTGATGGCTAAAGGATCCCCTGCTCTTCCAAGCAGAGCCTTGTCACGGTGCTGATGGGGGGTGGAGGTAGAGGGAAAGCATAATGTAGCATGTAGAGACAGCTGTTGCTGGTAGCTGGCATTTATTTAGTATAGTATGAAATGAAGTTTACATTTCCAAAGTCTCCTGATAGGTTTTGCTTCATAAACATTCACTCTTTCTTTCATTACATTCATAAAATATAGAGGCAGAAGTCAAAGCTGTAAGGCACTTGCTTATTTTTAAATGTGCATCTGCTCAGCTTAAGTGAGAGGCATCTTAATGGTCTAATGTTTGTCAGTTTTTTGTTTTCTTGTACCTGTGGGAGCTGGCCTGCCATAAGTGTGGTAGTGGGTCTGACATATCTTACAGAGCATCTTGATCGCCAGTAGATTGTGTGTGGAACGAACTGGAAGACTCAGTGTGGTAAGCGATATGAAATCCACAGCGTTTACAAAGCTTTCCAGGTAAGAACCAGCTCTTAAAAAGCAGGTGAATGTACTTCTTGAATTTTTCACCCATAAAGAAATATATAACTGGATTGACACAGCAATGGAAAAAGCTTAAGGTTTCAGTTGCTTGCCTTGCATAATCCACATTTGTGCTGATTTGACACCTTGTAATAACACCTATGTCTAACAGTGACTGTAAGAGAAGCACAATGTTGAAAGGGGTCCAAAAGATAAAAAACACAACCATAACAGTAAAGATCATCTTCACGGCCTTATTCTTTTTCTCATTTCTACAACGCTGTAAAGTCCCAATTATCATTGAGTAACAAAAACCCATAACTATTAAGGGGACCAAGAGCCCTAGTAGGTTGATTTCCAAAGAGGAGAAAAGTTTCCAGGTTGCAGAGTTGGCAAGGTACTTTGGTTTGCAGGCAGTATAGTTATGTTCATTTACAGAGTCATTAAATATCAGTTCTGGAATTGAGGCTAAAATGGCTACTACCCATACAATAACACTGGTAAGAAAGCCATAGGTAACAGTCCTTGCTCTCAAGGCAAAAATAGCATGAACTATGGCCAGGTATCTGTCTATGCTCATGAGCATAATAAAAGATACGCCACTGTAAAAGCCAACAAGATAGATCCAAGAAATAATTTTACACCAAGTGCCCCCAAAAATCCATTGGTCCACTGCATAATAGGACCAGAAGGGAAGGGAGAACACAAAGAGCAAGTCTGAGATTGCAAGGTTGAGCAGGTAAACATCACTCATACTCTTCAGTCTCTTGTATTTGAACAGGACCACGATAACCAGAGAGTTCCCCACCAAGCCAGACAGGAACACCAAAGTACACAGAATGGGCAGGAACACTGAGCCAAAGTGCCGAACACCTTCTTTACTGCAAGGCTCTGGAGCATTGTTGTAATTGTCACTGTAATTGTAGTCATATCCAGGGGTGCTGAATGTGTTGAGTATGTCTTGATATTCAGAACTCATTTTCTAGCTCCTGAGGATGAGAGGATACCAATGTTAATGAAACAAAGTCAACTTTGAAACAAGAATTATTTGAAAAGAGCTCAAAAAGCAATGAATTATTCAAAGGTCTGATGTACTTCATCAGATGTTTGGAACAGCCTATGTTCCAGAACAATAATAAGGCTTTACCAACTATTTTGGCACAGAAATGTGAGTCTAAGAAATGTTCGCTGAAATGTTAGTTGTCACTACGTGCACCTTACCATATCATATAAGATTAGGATGTATGATGAAACTATCATTCCCTCCTGAAATAAAGGCAATGAGGAAGGCAGAGTTTTATTATGAAGTAAGGATGTAAGAAATGATTGTTCAGACCACAAGCAATTGCATCATAGAAGATGCAGTTCTACATCCAAATGAAAAATAGCCAAACTCATATTATTTCCGTCATGTTGTTACTCAGCAAACTTCCATGGAATAAAAGCTGAGTAAAATGTAAACAAAGACGTCAGAAACGGAGTGGTTCATTTGAGTTCATTTGTGCCCCTGCTAAATTACACCTGCAGGTCACAACGTCTCACTTGCATCACATTTCTTCAGTGAGTAGTTTTTTTATATGATGAAATGAATAGGGATTTCTTTCATATGCAAATATTTAAAATATATATCTATTTGTAAGATTCCACAGCACAGTTAATGGACATAGCCTAAAAATGCTGTATATGAATGTACGCAGTAGCATTTTACTTTAGAGCAGATATTATTTTTCAAAGCTTTTTGCAAACATAAATGGGGTCTTTCTACATTTCCCCACTTATTTTAAAAGGAGAAGCAGAACAGTGATGTACACAGTGTAGCATTATGCTTTACAGCATGTAGGATTTTTCAAAGCCTTTTGCAAACATGAATTATGTTAAATTTTCCCCCACGCATTTAAAAAGAGAAGCAAAAGAAGAATGAGGTTAAATCTGGTATATAAATGAGGTCTATAAGGCTGCACAGTAAACTAATGATGAACTAAATATTTAATGCCTGATGCATGGTGCATGTTTCAGGTGCACAACAGCTTTCCAACCTGCAGTTCAGTTGTAATTCAGTTAGGCTCAAGTAGAAATCTGTTAAGTTCAAGTAGAAATAACGTAAAGCTTCAAGGAAGAAAACTTTTAAGCTAGTAGTTTAGGAATTTCTTGCAGAGCTACAGTAAATAAACACTAAACAAAACTTAGCTGGGAGCACATTGCTTGGATTCAAATACATTTTAGTTACATTTAGAATAGTCTAGTTTTTATTTAATTTTTTATAAAGAGAGTAAGCACAAAAATTTTATTACACAGATGTTTGAAAATTCTTCAGTTTCAAAGGGATACAACCACAGAAAGCAAATGCATTAATGTACCTGTGTAACTGCATAATGCACTTATAAATAAATAGCATTCTAAATATACAAAATCACTTATCCTCCAATTGCATTTTGCAAATTTTACCTTTTTTCCCCCTCCCCAATTGATTTGGAGAAGCCTCTTTGCCTGAAGGTGCAGGCGTCTCCTGCCTTCTCACTGAGTGACTTGACCTGTGAAGAACTGCATTTACAATGATATAATCTGTGAGGAAGTACAAGGTTTTCACTGTCTAGTGATATGTTTCTCTGACAGTTTGCAAGGCTATCATTTGTGAATGGTAGGGAAGAGCAATATGGGAAGTGATCTATTTTTTTATAAATCATTCTCTTCTCTTTTAATGTGGAATGTTTTGTGGCTTGAATAACATGGCATTGCGTGTACCATCTCCTTCCCTTTTTCGTGATGGTATAGACTGCTTTTGCATACAATCACATATGGTTACATTGGTGATTAAGAATATAACTTCTGTGGAAAAAGTATATAAAAGTAATGTTCATTTATAGGCTGTAGTGTGATATACCTGATTGTCTGGACGTTGTTAATCATGGTTCCACCTGAGTATTTCTGCTCTGCTTCTTTTCTTATGCTGGAAATGAGAAAACAAATGCCATGTGACCAGCCAACTCTGAACGGACAAAGATCAAATGCTGTGTCAACTGTACTTTGATCTCTGTTGTTAAATAAGCTGTGTCCCAAATAGATTGATGGCAGTGAGAGAGATGGGCAGAAAAAGGTAGCTAGACATACTAGTGTGAAGTCAGGCAGAGGGCAGGGTAGATTCACATCTTACAGTCTAACTAATCCAGAGATATGAATAACATAAGTTTGCATGAGCCCAAGCTCATGAAAGTTTAAGGTACATATATCTCTGATTTACTGGGTAGTTAGTCTACAACAGAGGCGGGCAATTATTTGGGCCTGCGGGGCACACAGGCAGTTCTGGGGAGCTGCCATGGGCTGGTGAGCGTCACTTCCCACCCCGCAACATACTGGAGCCTGTGTGCCCTGCGGCTCCTCCCTGCCACTGCCAACAGCTCACAGCTCCAGCCCTGACCCCAGCCCATCTGATGCTGGCTCTGGACTGGCCCTTCCTGGAACGGACTGGCCAGAACTCATGTGCACAGCCTGGCCTGCCCTGTGCTTGCTTTGGACCACCCACTCGCTGAGCAGTGGCAGCGCCTGGGCAGAAGCTGCTGCTTGGCATGGGGGAAGAAGCTGCTCGGACCTTCTTGCTACAGCCACTTGGAGCCTGAGCCCAAGCTGCCCTGTGGCTCCTTTCTGCGGCTGTCACTGCTGCCTCTGGGCTACGCAGCGGGGCAGCGGTGGCAGTGTAGAGGAGCTGCCAGGCAGCCTGGGCATAGGCTCTGGGTGGCTGCAGCAAGAATGGCCCAGCAGCGACAAAGAGGGAGGGGGCGCTTTCCCTCCATGCTGAGCAACAGCTTCTACCTGGCCACCGCCACTGCTGCTGCTGCTCATTGTGGGCGGATGAGTCTGGAGCAGGTGCCGGCTGGGCCAGGTCAGGGCTGTTTTTGTGGGTTCTGGCTGGTCTGGGGTTGGTGTGCTGTGCTGGGCTGGGGCAGGGGCTGTGCACACGGGTCCCCACCAGTCTACAGGGCTGGGGCCAGTGACGGCAGCAGCTGAAAGGAGCCACTGCTGTCTGGGCTGCCCAGAAATGCAGTTCAGCTGTGGAGCTGCCCCAGCTGTGCTGTATGCCTAGGGGGCGGTGTGGCATGGTGAGACTGAAGGACTTGCCACAGGCTGCATAAAGTCGCTCCGCAGTCCAGATCTGGCCTGCAGGCTGTATTTTGCCCTCTCCTAGTCTATAAAGTGCAAGTGTACCCTGCCTTCAATGTGAGAATGCCATTTCAGTGAATGAAGGGGATCTGTGAAGAGCAGGTCATCAGCACTTCCTATACCTGAATACAGGTTCATTGTTTTTCACCAGTTTTTTTCACCAAAAAGGTTTGTTCTGAATCCCAGGTAGATCACACATGGTTACTAAAGGTACCTCTTCTCTGCAGAGTTAACTTGAGCTGAAAAACTTGTTTTTCTTAATATTTTTAAACGTATATTGGGCTCTTTTGGTCATTATTTTCCTAATCCTAGATTTGTGTGCAAGTGGATGGGCAGGGTGTTACAAGTGTAGTTGCTAAGAATTTTCGGTTTCTTTCAAAGTTTCAAATGGACATGATAGTATTTTGCCCCATAAATCTGCTGGGAATCTGAGGTCTGATCTCTTGTGGGTCCATGTGCTGCATTAACTGCTAGCTTCTGTGTACAGTGCCTTACATATTATATGAAGCACATGAACATGATGAACCACCAGGAATGGGGTGGTTCTTCAGACAGTGCTGCTGGAAAAACTGAAATGTAAGCACCACCCATGGCTAGGGAGGGAAGAGGTGGGCAGACCTGGAGCAAATTTGGTTTTGTGGTTTAACTGTTTTCATTTTGCCCCTTTGTATTTTTATATTTGAGTTTGATATTTTGCAGTCATCTGTAGGCAAATTCAAGACAGCTTAACTAGAAACACATTGAAGAGTGCAAGATTTTTACTTTTTCCCTCACAAAAAATCTTGCCTGTCCTTTCTGGGCACTTGGAGAAAACGTGGGAAGGCATTAGCTCAAGTTACAACTCAAGTTAGCTCCGGTTATAACTTTAATATTGTCCTCAATGGCCATGCCTACATCAGGCACTTACTGCCCAATAGCTCATTCTTGCCATGCAGTACTTTGTTACTACTGTGCAGTAGCATTGCCGGGCATGAACTGTGATGTGATGCTACTGTGCAGTAGTAATGAGCTACCATACAGTAAGTGTAACTAGGCGACCATGCCAGGATGCTACTGGTCAGTAACACCGGTTACTACCCAGTCATTTAATACTTGGTTATGCAAGTACTAAATGACTGTGCAATAACAACTACACAGTCAGCATCTTGTGAAGATGCGGCCAATATGTGCTAAAATCCTAGTGTACCTATGCAATTTTAACATAAGCTAAGCTGGCAGGTCAAGATAAAGGCTATGCGGCAACTTATGATTACCTTCACCTGTAACCTCATTCTAAAACTTTAAATTACCCTATCTACAGTAGCATTTTACCCTCTTAAGTTTGTCTTTGCTAGGGTTTTACCTCATGTTATCATGTGCTAGCTAATGTGATTTAAGAAGATGCCTTTGCTCCAATGCAGGGATTTTGTTTGAAGAAAGATCAGATTGAATTGATGTTTCAATTTTCATTTAGTCATTTATTTCTAACGGTTGCTTTCAAGTCTTGTCAAGATCTTCCAACCCCATGGGTGTCTCAGAGCAATGCTGAGATGAGAAGATGAAATTACTGGCCACCTTTTCCATCCCACTTGGGACTAAATTGGAAGGTTCCCAGGTGATGTAGCCTCAGTACGAAGTTTTGTCCCAGGAGCATCACTGGGGGATGGGGGAGAGGGGGAGTCGCACAACAGAGTTGATAGCTGCTCTGACTTCAAGGAAGCAGTATGATAGTGACCTGTGACTGGTAAAGGAAGAGTATCAATAGTGTGAAAAGGCAAACCACTCACCTGGTGAGGAAAGGAGGAACCGGGGACTGGTGGTGGGAGTTGCAGATAGGACGACCATTGGTCCTGGTTTATACCAGACCATCCTGTTTTTAAACCCTTTGTCCCTGTCCGTTCCTGAATGAAGCCTGTACTGCAAAAAGTACTGTTTTTCAGTTCATTGGTAGAAATGCATGTCAATCACTTGTCCTTGCGATTCTATTGCTTGTGCCTAGAGGTAGGGTGCTGCATAGACAGAAGGAACAGGTTTGGAGCCAGCCAGGGAAGGAGGGAGATGGATGATCCCAGGGACTGTTTGCTCTGCACAGCCTGAGGAGCCCTAGCTGCAGTGCATGTGCAGGAGCAGCAAGAGCCAAAGCACTGTTGCAATCCTGAGCTCCCTGACCCTGGGCTGGGTATGCGTGGGTGAGTCTGAGCCTAGGGGGCTGCTGAGCTGCAAGGGCCTGGCAGTTGGTCTACACCCTCCCTACCCCCATGCTGCCTTGGCAGAAGGTAATGGCTTTGAGAGCAGGCAGGTGGAGCCCTCCATTTGTATTTGCCAGAATGTGGGTGGGACTGGGAGGAGGCTCTTGTCACTGTCTTCACACCCAGGGAGCAGGCCAGTGACTTTCTGGGATGTCCTGCTGCATGGGGAGGGAGAGGTTTGGGCAGAGGGGCCTTAGGGCTTCTGGGCAGCTGGGCCAGCTCATTAAGCCATTATTTCTCCTCTGGGACAGGCAAACTTGTCTGTCCTGTGGGGAAGGAAGGGAAGCCCCCACTTAGCCCAGCTCTGACCAGGGCAGATACCCAGGTGCCCAGTGTCTGTGCTGAAAGCTGATAGGGAAAGGGTAAGGTCTCCATGTAGTATGTGCCCCTGGTTCCCAAGCATAGAGCTGGGCTGGAGTGAGGCCATATCTTAGTGGGAAGAGAGGGTGCTCAAGCCTCACACCTGCTATGCTACATTTTCTTAAGGCTGGAGTGTCTGAAAAGAACGGCAGAGCTGTGGGATATGTGAAACCATGATGCAGGGGGAGTGAGGTGAGGCTCACAAATTTGATGCTGTCCTAGCACTTGTTTTCCCTTGCTCCCCAGCATGCCCCACATTCATCAGTGTGGGGTTCATGGACTGAATAGTAGCCTTTTTGTGGTGGCCCCACCTCTCGTTGCTCATTCACTGAGGAGGTGGCAACCCTGCCTCTCACCAGTGATCAACTGAGGGGGCTTGTGGTCCTGCTGTACACCAAGGGGGATATCCTGTATTCTGGGGATGCATTAGTGGCCATCCTTGTTTCATCTCAGCGGATACTGGGGAAGGAAAGAGCCACAGATTTATAGACTGTTAAAGCAGAAGATGTCATTACATCAACTAGTCTGAACTCTTATATAACGGCTGGCAGAATTTCATTCTGTTATTGAGCAAAGAATTTCTATTTGGCTAAAGCATATCTTGCAGAAGAAGTCTACTCTTTCCTTGAAGATATCAAGATATAGACACTACTACCTGAGCCTGTATGAAGCGGCTAGTATTTGCTTTGGATTCAGATTCGGCTGATTTGGGGGACAGTGATTCAATCTGGTGATTTGAATCACTGTCCTGAATCAATTCAGCTGCTGCTGAATCTCCAAATCTCTGAATCGCCCAG